CTCTCTCTCTCTCTCTCTCTCTCTCTCTCTCTCTCTCTCTCTCTCTCTCTCTCTCTCTCTCTCTCCCTCCCTCTCCCTCCCTCTCTCTCCCTCTCCCTCTCCCTCTCTCTCTATATATATGTATATATTTGTGTGTGTATGTGTGTGTGTGTGTGTCTGTGTATAAATGTAGTAACTGTAATTTTGCTTTTCAACATGTTTGGTTCTGAAACTAGAATTCTTGACACCAAAATTGGTGTTCTTCATGATGATACTTTATTGTATATCAAGTACCTTTTTTTAAACTTACCTTCTTAACTAAAAAAAGTACAGCTGCAGATAGTAGTTACTCTCTTTTAATGAGTTCAATGAGCAATTTTTATATACTTACAAATGAAAATTGAAATGCTAATTTGTGTTATGAGAGGGTTGTATCTTAATATATGCCTAAAAACAACTTCCATTGGGTCTACAGTGCTTTAAATTTTCTTTCGTCCAGTTATTATCCTAAATCTTTTTTTTAATGTAGCTGTTCATTAGTTAACTGACTGAAAAAAATTAATTTTATTCAGTATTTTTCAAAATCATTTGTTAAAGACCAGCCTTAAAAATTTCAGAAAAGCATGAACATTTGTTTAAGATGAGAGTTTTTTCCTTTGTATTCCATTCTTTTATAGGAAATGAATTGTCAGCCCTTATGGAGGATGGACGTTCTCAAGTTCTTTTAGCAAAAGTTTACAGTAAAATGGAAAGACCTGGTGATGCAATCATGTCATTGCAGAAGGTAAATGTACTTGTGATGTGGTTTTGGAGTTGTGAAATATGTTCAGTGGAGACTGATTTGCATAAGAAAATAATCTCTTTTTTCCCAACAGAAAATATATCAGTCATAGAAAATACCTCAAAATAGAAATAATTATTGAATGCCTAATGATTGTACAATTTAAATATTGTTAATTATTATAACAGTTAAGGAAGGTTGATATTTCTAATTATGATTCACACATCAGGAAAGTTATTTTAATATTTGCCTTAAGTCATGTGGTTTGTATTAGAGGCAAAATTCGAGCTAAATGCTGCTTTCCTCTATGAATTTAGATCTTCAATTTCTCAATATTTTATGGTTTTCAGAGTAGAAGTTTTACACATACTTCCTTAGATGTAGATTCCCAAGATAGTTTTGTATGACTTTTTTTTCAATTTCTGTTTGTTAACAATTGTTAACAATTGGGGGATGGTACTGGGATTTGGATTCAGAGCATCATGCTTGCTAGGCAGGTGCTCTACCACTTGAGCCATGCCTTTACCACTTTTTGCTCTGATTATTTTTGAAATAGGGTCTCGCTTTTTCCCAGGCCAGCCTTGACTGTGATCCTCCTTTTTATGTTTCCTGTACTAGCTGAGATGACAGGCACTTGCCACTGTACCCAGCTACTGGTTGAGAAGGGGTTTTATGAACTTTTTGCCCAGGCTGGTCTCAAACTGTGATCCTCGAAATTTCTCCTACCCAGGTAGCAGAATTACAGATGTGAGCCACTAACATCCAGCTTGTTAACAGTTTTTATAAGTAATTTAAATTTTATGAAATGTGTTCTCTATCAAGGTGGTCATATAATTTTTCTCCTGTTTATTTTGTCTGTGTCTATTAATTGATTGTCAAATATTTACCAGCCTTATATTGCTGAAATAAATGTTACTTTATTGCATTTTTAAAATGATTTTGCCAGAATTTGAAGATGTTTCCTAACATTTTGTTAAGGCTTTCTACATCAGTGTTCATGAGAGAGAATGGTCTGTAAGAATGATACTATTTAATGATACTAATTTCTTTAATTGAAACAATTCAGTACTGAAACTATTGAGGCCCTAAAACTTCTTTGATGGAAAATTTTTTTAGTGGATTCAGTATCCTTAATATATTTCAGACTGATCATTTTTAAATACCCCATTTCATCAGTTTCAATGGTTGTATTATGAGATTTGATCATTTAATTATGAAATACATCGATATAAATTTGTTCATTATTTCTTATCTTTTGAGTTATAAAAATGCCTTCCTTTATAGTCCTAATATTTATAATTTTATTTTGTTCCCTCTGTACATGTATGTGTATATATGTCTATATAGACATAAATACATATCTATCTATAGATAGGCATAGATATAAACATAGACATGTCTATATAGATATATATAGATATAAGTATCTATACTTATATATAGCTAATACATATTTTTGTTTCTGTTTGTTTTTTGTTCTTCTGAGACATAGTCTTGCTATGTAGCCTAGGCTGGCTTTGAAATTAATAGTTCTTGTGCCTCAGAAAAGTATTGGGATTAAAGGCATACTACCATGATGTCCAGTTTCTTTCCTTTTTAATAATCTGTTATATTAGGGCTTATTTTTATTAATGTTATCAAAGAATATTTTTCTTTTGGGGCTTCACTAAATGTTGACTTTTTGACTCATTAGTTTCTTCTTTCTTTGGATTTGGTTTGCTGATCATTTTCTAGTTTTTTTTTTTATTATTCATATGTGCATACAAGGCTTGGGTCATTTCTCCCCCCTACCCCCACCCCCTCCCTTACCACACACTCCGTCCCCTCCCTCTCCCCCCTACCCCCTCAATACCCAGCAGAAACTATTTTGCCCTTATTTCTAATTTTGTTGTAGAGAGAATATAAGCCATAATAGGAA